GAAAAAGAGTACCGTGAATTTTGAATTCTGATCTTTTTCCAGGTTGTCCTGTGTGGTCTGAGCCTCTCTGGTGACACAGGACAGGGGTAGTAAGTCACGGCTCTGGGCACTCATGTGACTCCCAGGCGGAGTAGCTGACACCATGATGTACTGTGTTACTGAGCTGTGATGTTCAGTCGATAAGGAGCATTAAATGTATTTTTGACATATGAGATTTTTCAGATGACTGTGAGATTTTATATTTGTATAGGCTGTGCATAGTAACTGCAAATTTAAATCAAGGCCAGTTTCGAGATTAAAAACTCCTGAGGTTTAGAAAGTAGTATTAATTTGCCCCCAAACCACTTGCTCTTAAGTAGTAAAATAGAGCCCAAATTCATGTCTTGGTAGCTTTAAAGCCTGTCTCATTGGCTTGTACACCAAATGCATTGGTAAAATACACATAGTATCTCATTTTACATTCTTGTTTTAAAACTCTCAAAGATTTTCTGTTGCCTATAGAAAAAGCACAAGCCCTTTAGCCTGGCATTGAGGTCCATGGACACTCTGGCTTTCTCCTGCTATTTTAGTCCTCTTTCTACCCAGACAGACAGTATCACTACAGAACATCTTATCCTTCTTTGCTCTCGTGCTTCAGCACTGGGTTTTCCCCCTCACTTGTCAGACATTACTGTCCTATTCCACCCCCACCCAATATTATCAGTGTCCTACTCACCCTGTGTTCTCCTGTACCCAACGTAGGTAACATTACCACTATTCTTTCATGCTAGGCACCGCAAAAGCACAAGACTGACACCTGAGAAGTCTTATTCACCACCATAATTGTCTGCTATAGTGGTGGTCAATACGGCACAAGCCAGCAACTGACAAAAAAATTACCCAGAAGTGCTTTTATGGGGGCGGTACTGGGGATCGAACTTGGGACCTTGTGCTTTCGAGGCAGGTGGCGGAACTGAGCTAAATCCCCAGCTCTACAAGTGCTTTTGCAAGTATACATTTAAAGATCTCCCACCAGATGAACTGTTGGCTGTCTGAATTTCCAGTGGGCTTCCTCAATTAGCCGTTTATATCTTGAATTTTGAGAATTTCTGTCCATACATAGTTACATAGATATGCTGGTACAAATAAAAAATACTGCTACTTCGTGAAGCTTTGAGGGTCATATGAGCCTGAAAATGTCTTTGGAAGTGTGTTGGGTGGCAGTAGTTGGAAGTTCTCATCTTGCAGAGAAGGGAGAATAAGCTAAGGCAACGGGGGTAGCAGGAGAAGTGAGGTCCACCTGCCAGGGCAACCTTCTCTTCCACCACCTCCTCGCACTCTTCCCTGAACCCTGGAACATGTTCCCCCCTTGAAAGCCTCTCTTTGTGTTACAAATTAGTATGTGCAGAATAATTAAGGCATACAGAAAAGTTTATATTAAAGTTGAAATCTAGCTAGTCACTGTTCACTTTTGCCTTGTTTATTTCCATTTTCCTTAATTATCTATATTTTTAAAAAGAAAAAATTATTGAATAAGATAATGACTATTTAGGGAAGCTGTGTTCTCTCTTCAACTCTCTTCACATTTTAAATGGTATCATCTCTCAAATCTTAAATTATTCTTTGAGATGAAGTTTATTTTGTTGTTTTTTTTTTAGTAGTCACTAGTTTTTTCATAGTTTTCTAACAGTTTTGTAAACCAGTGTTCACACGATACCTGGCATAGAGTTGGGGATACAATAAAGCCTCAATAAAAGAATTCTGAATAAAGGAATCACTGTTTATAAATTCAACCTTAGATGGATACTTACATTATTTCCATTTTTATATATCATAAATAACACTTTAATGTATATGTCTTATTATATCCTTCAGTGGAGTTCCTAAAAGATATTCATCATATTTATGTGGCATATATATCTTTGAAACTCTGATAATATATTCCAATTTTATTCCATGTTGTTCTAATTTTATCTTTTCCCTGTCAGTATATGAATGTCCTTAATTCATTTTATTTATCTATCTCTGAAAAGTCTTTTCTTAAAAATCTTTAGAGGCATAACTGATGTGTGATTTTTATCCTCATCCCACTGTGATGCTAGATATTCCGTCTGTATCTCTTATAGCCTCTCAGAATTCCTGAGATGCAAGGCAGGGGAAAGATACATTGTTTTTTAAAAAAAACCCACTTAACAAATCAATAGGTATTTATTGAGTTGTATACTCACTGGGGGTAAGAATTTGAGGAATGTATAACCGAAATATAATATTGTCTTTAACACACAATCTAACAGGAAAAATAAGACTCGGATATAAACCAGATAATATAGATGTGAGAGAATACTATGTATAGAAATGAGAGGAAGGACAGATCATAACTTAAAGAGGTGTAAGCAAAGGCTGCCTGGAGAAGCCAGGCTTCGAGCTGTCTGGAGAATGGCTAAGATTCTGGGACAGAGAGGGAAGGTACACAGGGCGGAGCATGTGGCTAAGTGAGCATGGTGGCAGGTCAGGGAAACAGTCTCACAATGATGGGGAAAATAAGACTGAGAAAGCAAAGGTGACAGGAATGTGCTTCATAAGGGCAGACTAAGGATTTGATATGTAGATTGAGTTAATAAGGTACATCTTAAAGAGTTAAATAAGAAGCAACAAAAAAGAAAGAAGAAAGAAAGTAACGCCAGGCCAATGTGCAGTTAGCAAGAATTCTCTCATTTTCCAAGTCCCTGCGATATCTCACTACAGTCCCTGGTGTTTAGAGACAGTGGGAGCTCTGTGGCTACTGCCCAAGTTCAGGGCAGAGGTGGCACGGTGCCATTACACCTCCCTGTACCTTTATGATTGGCTGTCTGTGAACAAGCCCCTTCATCAACTTATTTCACGGTGCCATCTACTTTCTGTTAGAATACTAGCTAGCAGAGCCCCATTCTGTAGGCAGGGACACTGAGGTTCACAGAAGAGGCCTCACAGAATCCAGAATCTGTGCTGTTTTGCAGCCTATAATAATATTGCCTCTATTTGTCTGGGGAAGAAGGTAATTTCAGGAAGCAGAGAGAGCCAGGTTGGTCAATGCAGAAACTTTTGAGTTTCATGAGCAAGCTAAGCTTGTGTTCGGCTCTTGGTTTTGGTTTTACGCTTTAGTTATTCTTTTATTCACTTAGAGATATAGCATCGTGTATTCAAAGCAGCCTCTTCAAATTCATGATTTACGGTGTTCACCCATTGCCACTCAGCCCCGTTATATCTTCTTTATAGCACTTTTGTTCCCTGGACTTATTCTCTCCTTTGATTTGTTTACTTCTTTATCTTGCCCTCTCACTACTCATGGTTTGGCAGATGTGAGGCCTAAGGGTCTGTGACACATGGGTGCCATTCACACGCCCAGGCCAGAAGCTAATACACTGCCTGGTATGTATGAATAATTGTTTAGCAGTAATCATTATATGCACTAGGATGGAAAAAAGAGAAGAGGAAGGAAGGAAGGAGGAAGGGAGGGGAAGGAAGGGCAAGAAAAGGAGGAAGAAAGGTAGGCAGGCAGGCACGCATTTATGTCCAAGGTAAATTCAGAAAGCAAACATACAAAGAAGAGTGGCAGCTGGCTATGGAAAAAAATATTTTTCTTTCTAGATATTCCTCACAGAAGGGAGAAGAGTAGAGCAAGAAGACGAATGCCTTGTATCCCACCTGAATATGTAGTTCAAAGGAAAAAATCATGCTTCTAAAATTCTATTATTTTAAATATCCATCTTACTATTATTATATATACTATCTTAACGCTTGCAATTATAGTGCCAAAACAAATATCCTGAAGTAAGAATCATGAGAAATTGCATTTTACTTATATTGGCCTTCAAATCAGATTGTTCTGTCTCCCATTTAGGAAGATATTTTCTCTCCTTTTCTTGTTGAGAAGCAGCCGTATTGAGCATTTGTGCAGTAAACGTGCTGAGAGCACACAAATTCAACAGATGATGTTATCCTTTTAAATCTTCATCCTTTAAAATTCAAAGGTCAACGACAGCTTTTATATGTAAATTTACTTGTGAAATTGATTGCACATTACCAGCACTGACAGATGGAAAAAATCACCAGTTTGCCATATGGATGAGTCAGGAGCATGGTGGGTCACTGTGTACACAGTAGGACAACTGATGACCACTTAAAAATTCTCTTTTAGACAATTCTTCCATGTGCACACAATGACAGTTTACTTCACTCATGTTTCAAACTCAAATTCAGTATCTTTTTAGACAATGCAGTGGGTTACAGTCATTCACTCTGTTAAAGAATGAGCTGAACTTCTGCCTTTTAATGAAAACTCTTCTGGAAAATCTGTTGTGGTCAAGTTTTACTTTCAGTTTTGATGTGGATGCTTTGTATTAAAGTAGATGATCTGAAATGACAGGAGACACTGTTAATGTAATACCCGAAACTTTCCAGGATTCTTTCTTTTAAGGGGCTTAAAGTGCTCTCATGTAGTCCTCTATTCTTGAAAATGTCAGGGAAATAGATAGATGCTGGTTTACCAATTACATTCCTCCATGTCAAAATATTTAACTTTCTTGCACAGAAGCATTAATTTGGAGGAGGGGAGAGCAAAAGGGAAGGAGAAAAGGAGAGAGATCGTGGCACCGTGGCCTACTGTAATTTGAACATCTAAATTAGAGAATCCATCATCCTGAATGGTGCAGTGAATAAGACATAGAATAGTTAATACATACACCCCTTCCCAACATCTACAACATTATCACACTTAAGAAAAATTCTGGACCAAACTCTAACACGCACTCACTGTGTAGGTAGAGCAAAGCATTTAACTTTCCTAAGATTTCATTTACCTTTCTATATAATGAAGCCTGAAGTGCATCTCTCACATGCTTATTATAAGAATTAACAGGAAACCTTGGTCAGTACCTGGTATTTATTAATAATGTGTTAAATGGAAGCAATGGAGAAATCCATAATGTACAGCATGAGATACTGACCATCAGTGAAATAGGTAAGATGGGCTAGTCACACCCCCTTCTGTCTTCTGCTATTTTGCTTCTGTCTTCTAAAACTTCAACCCTGCAATTACAAGGAGTTCTAGTACACAGTTGTTTTATCATGTTAGTTTTCAAATATGCTGACTATATTTAGTGGTAACGAGCAACTCTATTTTATCCTTATCTACAATTTCCCAATTTTGAGTTTCTGGTTCTCTTTACAGAGGCAATGGTCAAATAACTGTCTTTATTATATTTTTAGGTTGTTTAGTTTTTCTATCCCCTTAGGAAAGATGTGCCTAGCTACCTCTCTGTGGTCCTATGTGTCTTCTCCTCTGGTGCTGCTAGTTTTCTTTCCAACACTGACTTGTTAATTTCTATAATGTTATTGTTAAGAAGTCAAAGATGGCTTTTCATTTCAAGAAGAACATTAGTAGGTTTTGCTCTGATTTTTATGAGTTATTTGAAAAAAATCCATGTGTTTTTATGTGTGTAGGAATACTATATTGTTTGTTTGTTTTTTGTTTTTTGAGACAGGGTCTCACTATGTCGTTGAGACTGACCTGGAACTCACTATGTAGCCCAGGATGGTCTCGAACTCACAGCAATCCTCCTGCCTCAGTCTCCCGAGTGCTGGGATTACAGGCACGTGCCACCATGCCCGGCTGTATTTTAATTGCAAAAGATTGAAAGCTTTCCTCCTAAGATCAGTAGTAAGATCAGCAATGAGACAATATTTTTGTTACTGCCTTTCAACTCTCTACTAAACATTCTAGTCAGAGCAATTAGGCGGTTAAAAAAAAAAAGACAAAATTATCCAAGTTGGAAAGTAAAATGTACAACTGTTTCTCCTCATTGATGACATAGTTCTGTATAGAAAAGAAATCCTAAAGAATCCACACACACCAATCAATATAATAAATGAATTTGGCATAGTTGCAGTATATATATATAGGATCATTTGGTAAACAGTTGTATTTTTACACACTAGCAATGAAAAGGAAATTTAAGTGAACAATTCTATTACAACAGCATGAAAAAAATTAAATGATTAGGGATAAATTTGACTAAGGAAGCCTTAGAGTTAAACACTGAAAATTACAAAGCATTGCTAAAAGAAATTAAAGGAGACATAAATAAATGGACATTTTGACTATCATATGTCTCACCATTACCAGTCTATTATATATTATTTTTAATTTTTTAACCTAACAATTGTAGTTACTGGTTGAAAGCAGAATTACATTACATGTATGATTTGACAAATGACCTCACAATAATATCCAGATCTTCTGATTGAGGGAATTAAAATAGATACATAGCATATTAAATATATACTCCTGTGTTTGTCACAGATAAATTCATGCTTACTATTATTTCCACATTCAATTATTGTCCTTATAATTGTCACATGAAGTCACTTGTAACTTGTCATTCAAAACTCTGTAATATACCTGGTATTAGAGTACCTACATCCTAAATTACAATTCTCGGTTTAGAAACTTATTCTCCTCTGTTATAAATAACACATTTTTATCCCTTCAGATCTACTAATTGTCTTCTGTTAACTTACAGTGAACTCTTCTTTAAATATTATTTCCTGCTATCAGCAAAATAAAATTAGAAGTTGAAATTAAGACCCATTAAAATCCTACCTCTTCTACCATATATTTTCTGAATACCATGGCCTATTATATATATTTAACGGAGGTATTATATGCATTTTTTTCTCAAAGTATTCACCCTTGTATATGAGACCTCTCCCTACAGGAAGCTTAACTGTCCAAGGCTATCAGACTGTTGAGCCAATGGAACACAAGAGGAAATGACAAGTAGACTGATTGCAATGATGCAATTATGAATATATTGAATATTTTTGAATGCTATCTAAAGTAAACGAGGTAACTGTATGGCATATAAATTATCTCAAAACTGTTACAAAAGTACAGCAAATACATAATACTAAAATGCTACACTAAAATACTCAGTACTAAAATACGTAGCATTAAAGTCTAATACCTATAAAGAGGATGTAATTGGAGTGGTTAAATATTTTAAACTGCAAATTTTCAATATTGAGAAGCCCAGTTACAGTTAATGCTTATGAATGATGAATTTTCTGAAGCTTTTCCTATGTTCTACACGTGATGCTACTACTATTACATTGGTTAACAACATAGTACAGGTTGAGTATCCCCGATCCCAAATGCTCGGAACCAAAAGTGTTTATATCTTGGAGATGTTTGGCTTTTGAAATACTGCCATAGACAATCTGATGAGAGTTGTAATCCAATTTTTTTAAATATGAAATTTGCCAAAATCTGAAAAATTTTAAGTGCTGTTATGGCACTCAAAGTTTTAGATTTTTAAGTATTTCAAATTTCAAATTTTTGAATTTGGGACTTTCAATCTGTACAACCAGTGTGGATAAAGTTTACCTATTAGCAACATCCCCTCAAAATGGTGGCTTAAGCATGATTGAAATACATCCTTCTTCTCTGATACAAATGTAGATCACCCATGACAGGTACAGTAGCACAGAGAACATCAGAATGTGTCTTTAATGTTTTCTTCTATTATCCTCAAGTCATACCTTCTACTTCATGGTACAAGATAGCTCTTCCAATTTAGCTATAGTACTCACATCGTCATCTAAAGAAAGCTGTCAAGAGAGGAATATGCTTCCCTCTTTAATGATGTTATCCAAAAGCTAAAATAGTCTTCCACTTTTTCACATCATCATACCATACTTAAAAGGATATTTGGAGTCTATAATTGGTTCAGCAACAAGGTTGGCTCATACAGGGATTTTATCCAGGAAGAACTAAAGGGAAAATTCATGTTGCCTTACACTCCATGGTCAGTGCTCACATACCCAAGAGGCAGGCTGCCCAGTACTGCTTCATAAATACTTCCATTGTTTTCTTAAACAGAGAAAAGAACGTGTGGACTTTCCGCTAACTCGGAGTGCACTGTAAACTCTTTATGTGCATACCGCATCTCACTTAGGAAGAATGACTGGTCTAGGGCAGAGCCACAAATACATGGGGAGGAGGTAGAAAAATGAGGATCGTTCCTGTCCTGGTGGACAGTCGGCTTGATGCTGCGAAGGTAAATGAATTCTTTGAGGCACACAGTAAATTGACAAACACTTCCTTGTTTAATGTTGCAGCTGACTTTCAGTTCCATTGTGGAAGCATTCGAATTGTGCGTCCACTATTTATAGACATCTTGCACATTTTGAGAAGTCAGAAAATCTGAATTTTTATTGGAAAATTAGATTTCTTGAATTAGATTCTTGAATCTAATTTTTCTTCATGTTGGTTCTAATGTTTGCTATTTATAGTTTTCCTGTGGACCACTGATTTAGGACATTTGTCAAGAAAATAACTATTAATGTTGGAAATCATTATGAAAAGTGGTGAAAATGAGGCAGAACTTATTATTATCATTACAGATTTATTACACATTTTGCTGTTCTCTTTATTGAATGGCTTTTGTTCCCAGGTATTGTGCGTGACTCTTTTCACACTCATTATCACATCTTGTTATCAGAAAAGCGTTCATTACTAGGCAGCACAGGGCAGTTGAAGGCCTGAGTACTTAAGCAACATGCCCAGGGCCACAAAGCTGATGAATGACAAAGCTGAGATTTGAATTGGGCCAGTTTGATGTCCAACTCCACATTCATAATCCATGTGCAATACCGTGTGCAAATCCTCGACTTCTCCAACATAACATATGTGGGTTTACCACCATGTAAAACAAACACAGGATAAGCACGCACATAGCATCTCAATATTTATCTGTAAACACTATGTCACCCTATCAGAGAATAAGCACAGAGGACAGAGGCAGGAGGATTCATCTCTGGAGGGCCTCCCAGCTCTCCCAGTGTCATACGTTATCCTTAAACAACATCTGGAAGGCCATCACACCATTTATCCCATTAAATAAAAGGGGATTTTGACTATTAGCATTCCGTGGCTTTAAATCCACAGTAGAGCTGTGCAACTTATTTAGAACAGGTGTTTAATTGTGATAAATTGGAGAAAATCCCAGTATTCAATGGTCCTCAAACTAACATTACCATCTGGTAGAGAAGGGTAGTAATTTTCTATCAACAAACTTGCTTATAAATTTCAAGGGTGGTGGCCTGTTAGGAAGACTCCAGGGGCAGGTCAGGAGGTTGGGTATGCACAGATGAGGAAGAGTATTTAAACATTCTCCATGATAACAAAACACTGTGGAGGATAAACGAGACATGTTTTGTGCTTTCTGACTTTTTATGCAGTATTAAATAAATATTAAAAACCTTTGAGTATCTTGGTGAGTGAGAGATAACATTGCCATTTTTTGCATTAAGTTAATGTTATGTTGACTCCTTTTGGCAAATCTTTCTGTTTATTAAGAGAACATAAATGCTTATATGGTCACTACATAATTTGGTCAATCAAGAAAGAGAGAGAGAGAGAGAGAGAGAGAGAGGAAGGAAAAGAAAAGAGATTAAGAGAAGGATGTTTAGTCAGTGTGAACAAAGTGCTAGACATTAGATTTATCTTCTCACCTGAAAACAACTAATGGTTTTCAAAACAATGAATATTAGCAGTGAAAGACAGTAATCTCCAAAAGATAGAAAAAACAATTTATTATGAGCCCTACAACTGGCCTTGTTTACTGACTTGAGGGAGTTTTCAGGCAACAGTGTGAGGAAGATGGAGCTGAGGTAGAAGGTGGTAGATTCTTTGAATTACAGAGAAAAAGCTGAGTCTGGGAGACCAAAGTTGTGAGAGTGAGCAGAATACTATGGATGAGAAAGCTGTACACAAAGAGTATTTTGGAGAATGCAAAGGATCTCTCCATATATTTAGTAGAGTTGATATAGTAAAAGATAACACTAACCATAATGAAAAAGAAAATCTAAAACCATGCTGTCATACCAGTTAGGGTGGCTATTGTTTAAAATAAACACACACACAATAAATGAGCTGAAAATTATAAATATTGGCAAAGATGTGAAGAAAATGGAATCCTTGTGTATTACTGGTTAGAATGTATAAAGGTTGCAGCCAGCATAAAAAT